GAGGAAAGATTGCCGACATAGCTATGCATGGGCTTCCTGTCTTGTGGACTTGCGATATTATTAAAGTCATGTGAACCAGTGTTTAACTAAGCAGAGAAAGAGGAAAGCTTTTTACATTTGGCACAGTATGTAAAAATGATGCCGTGGAAGCTTTGATTAAGTCATAAGAACATTTCAAAGTTTCATTCGAATACACAGAAAACGCTCAAAGAAGATTTCCAATAGAAACAAATCATTGGGGGTACTGCAGTTACTTGACCTCAAATAATATTATGATTAGCGGATAAAAAGCTGAAGAAAGATACTGAGTTTAGCTAATATATATTGTACAGTATCTCACATATTTTTTTTACAGAATATTAACTCCACTTTCTTCAAAATTCCTCTTATTGACCTTTTATTTATTAATTATTGGGTAACACAATAGATAACTAGATAAATCTACAACATTAAAAGAAGCCAATCAGGGGCTTTGTTTACAAACTGGCTTGTGAATGTTATTACGAACTTTTGAACTTCGCAACGAATTAAGTCGAATTTATGGGCTTCGTGATCAGAACGAAGTTCGGAACATTTGACAAAAGTTATGTAAAATCGACTGTAAGTCATAAGAACATTTTCAAAGTTCATTGGGTTCCACGGAGAGCGCTAAAAGAAGATTTCGCCATAGAAAGGTAGACATTATTACACAAGTCATTAGTGTACGGCAGCCGTTTGACTAAATTGACTTCAAATAATATTACGATTAACGCTTAAAAAGCTGAAGAACGACACAAACTTCAGTTAATGTACAGTATTTCACATTGTTTTGCTATCTATTTAGCTAACAAGATTATATTTAAATTATAATCGGCTATTTTTCAAGGCAATTCATTTTGCCGCTTTGCGTAAACAGCCGTTTTGGGGCAATTTGACCCTTCCATTATTCGCTCAAACTCTTGAAATTTTGTATGGCCCAAAAATGTTATTTCACTTATTGAAATATCAGTCCTTGCTGAAAACGTTGGTATAATGTTCATGTTCTAATTCGAGGTATCAGTGGCGATATATGGATTTTAATCGGACAGTCTAAAGTTGCGTAAAACAAGCGACAAGTTGAAAAATCGATTAAATATTCAAATCTACATCAAATTCGACTTTTAGGGCTGCTACTTGTACGTTAGTGTTTGTATTTTATGAAAAATAAGTTTAAATCTGCAGTACTTTTGATTTACCAGCGTAAACAAACTCAATCCGAAGTAGTTTGTATCGCCCTAAAAATAGGGCCGTCAGCCGTGAGAACACAAATATCAACTTCTTGTTAAAAATATTTTTCGAATCAAAGTTAAACACATTTTTATATTATCAGGTCCAACTAACTTACATTTTGACAAAGTTTGGGCAATTTTGATTTTTCACGTTCTGCACGACATAGGCGATATTTACAGACAGCCTCTCTTAATTTGCATTAAAAGTGTTTTGTTTATGATTGCAAGTTTAGGCAGTAAATTTCCCGTGTATAAACACGCTTCTCGACCAATCACCACACGCATACTATAAATGTTCTATTTTATCATAATTTATGCATTTGGTATCGCTCATGTAAAGCACGGCAGTATAAATCAACATATGCTTCAGCCGTGTAGCACGCCTGAACCAGGCAAACTTATTAATTTAGCCGTGCTTAATATTATGTGCAGTGCTTAGTTGATTTAGACGCAACCTGTTTCATAGGGTCTCACCTCCACCACGCCCCCAAACAGTGATAATTTGTGGCAAATTTCCATTATGAAGGTATGTTTTGTAGGTCTCTTTTATATGTGTGCTTTAATATTACTACACAATCTAATTATTTAATAAAAAGAGAATTACTCTTATTTATTTTGATATAGCAAACTGTTGGGAAGCCTTTGAAGTATATGTTCGACGTGGAACGGATTTTGGCGGCTATGACAAATGTAGACAGGGATCCAAGCGAGGCCTGGAGAGAAGTCAATGGTTTTTGGGGAAAAGTTGTTTGTGAACTTGGAATGAAGAACAAGCGCCTTGTTCGGAAGAACTATTATCAGCAATGGTTTGAAGACAGAAAAGGTTTGAGAAGTCAATATACGAACACTATGTATATGATGGAACGGAATGCAATGCCTGAAGTGTTGGCCATGGACATAAGTAATCTTTTTAAGCCTAAGGCTAAGGAAGGCTAAGCATTAGCCATTACTGCTGACACATGTTGAAATTATCAACGAAACAATTTTGCCCAACTTATCCGAGTAATCATCATGCAATATTTTAAAATGTATAAATTGGTCTTTATTCTTTACTAGAATATACTAGACTCTAAATCTAATATATTAATACTATTATTAATATGTGCTTGTTTAATGTTGATTGTAAAGTATAAATATAAACCAAGCCTTACTGTGCCCTGTGCTGTGCCTTTTAAAATATTTACGAAAGGTTGGTAAGTACTGTAATTTCCATACTCGAATCTTTATCAAAATATTTAAAAGGATTTGTGGGCACACAGTTGCACAAGTTAGCTCATTACAGACATTAGTCATTATGACATTCATTGACAATCATTAGACTTTAGTGTCTTTACGCATTCAGAATATATCACAAATTGAACTACTAAGTCTAATGCAACAACGTCTTGGCCCCCAAAGAACAAATTTTAAATGTAAAATGCTAATAGTAACAATAACTTCTTACAGAGTATGGACAAAATTTGAGTGCAATTTATACACTTTCGTGGTATATACCTATATAGTACTATACTCTATAGGAGCGGAATATCCTTCTTCAACACATGCAATGATGACACGTAATGATGCTGTTCCGGTGTTCTGTGTTACCTTGTTATGGTGTTCCTGGTCAGCTACTAATAGCCGAAGGATTTTGCATTTTGACTGTATTGAACAGTTTCTTAATTTGCATTAAAAGGGTTTTGTTTATGATTGCAAGTTTAGGTGGTAAATTTCCATTATGAAGGTATGTTTTGTAGGTCTCTTTTATATGTGTGCTTTAATATTACTACACAATCTAATTATTTAATAAAAAGAGAATTACTCTTATTTATTTTGATATAGCAAACTGTTGGGAAGCCTTTGAAGTATATGTTCGACGTGGAACGGATTTTGGCGGCTATGACAAATGTAGACAGGGATCCAAGCGAGGCCTGGAGAGAAGTCAATGGTTTTTGGGGAAAAGTTGTTTGTGAACTTGGAATGAAGAACAAGCGCCTTGTTCGGAAGAACTATTATCAGCAATGGTTTGAAGACAGAAAAGGTTTGAGAAGTCAATATACGAACACTATGTATATGATGGAACGGAATGCAATGCCTGAAGTGTTGGCCATGGACATAAGTAATCTTTTTAAGCCTAAGGCTAAGGAAGGCTAAGCATTAGCCATTACTGCTGACACATGTTGAAATTATCAACGAAACAATTTTGCCCAACTTATCCGAGTAATCATCATGCAATATTTTAAAATGTATAAATTGGTCTTTATTCTTTACTAGAATATACTAGACTCTAAATCTAATATATTAATACTATTATTAATATGTGCTTGTTTAATGTTGATTGTAAAGTATAAATATAAACCAAGCCTTACTGTGCCCTGTGCTGTGCCTTTTAAAATATTTACGAAAGGTTGGTAAGTACTGTAATTTCCATACTCGAATCTTTATCAAAATATTTAAAAGGATTTGTGGGCACACAGTTGCACAAGTTAGCTCATTACAGACATTAGTCATTATGACATTCATTGACAATCATTAGACTTTAGTGTCTTTACGCATTCAGAATATATCACAAATTGAACTACTAAGTCTAATGCAACAACGTCTTGGCCCCCAAAGAACAAATTTTAAATGTAAAATGCTAATAGTAACAATAACTTCTTACAGAGTATGGACAAAATTTGAGTGCAATTTATACACTTTCGTGGTATATACCTATATAGTACTATACTCTATAGGAGCGGAATATCCTTCTTCAACACATGCAATGATGACACGTAATGATGCTGTTCCGGTGTTCTGTGTTACCTTGTTATGGTGTTCCTGGTCAGCTACTAATAGCCGAAGGATTTTGCATTTTGACTGTATTGAACAGTTTCTTAATTTGCATTAAAAGGGTTTTGTTTATGATTGCAAGTTTAGGTGGTAAATTTCTCATGTATAAACACGCTTCTCGACCAATCAACACACGCATACTATAAATGTTCTATTTTATCATAATTTATGCATTTGGTATGGCTGATGTAAAGCACGGCAGTATAAATCAACATGTGCTTCAGCCGTGTAGCACACCTGAACCAGGTGAACTTAATAATTTAGCTGTGCTTAATATTATGTGCAGTGCTTAATTGATTTAGACGCAACCTGTTTCATAGGGTCTCACCTCGGCCACGCCCCCCAAACAGCGATAATTTGTGGAATATTTCCATTATGAAGGTATGTTTTGTAGGTCTCTTATATATGTGTGCTTTAATATTACTACACAATTTAATTATTTAATAAAAAGAGAATTACTCTTAATTATTTTGATATAGCAAACTGTTGGGAAGCCTTTGAAGTATATGTTCGATGTGGAACGGATTTTGGCGGCTAGGACAAATGTAGACAGGGATCCAAGCGAGGCCTGGAGAGAAGTCAATGGTTTTTGGGGAAAAGTTGTTCGTGAACTTGGAATGAAGAACAAGCGCCTTGTTCGGAAGAACTATTATCAGCAATGGTTTCAAGACAGAAAAGGTTTGAGAAGTCAATATACGAACACTATGTATATGATGGAACGGAATGCAACGCCTGAAGTGTTGGCCATGGACATAAGTAATCTTTTTAAGCCTAAGGCTAAGGAAGGCTAAGCATTAGCCATTACTGCTGAGACATGTTGAAATTGTCAAAGAAACAATTTTGCCCAACTTATCCGAGTAATCATCATGCAATATTTTAAAATGTATAAATTGGTCTTTATTCTTTACTAGAATATACTAGACTCTATAAATCTAATATATTAATATTATTATTAATATGTGCTTGTTTAATGTTGACTGTAAAGTATAAATATAAACCAAACTGAACTGTGCCCTGTGCTGTGCCTGTGGGTTTTAAAATATTTGCAAAAGGTTGGTAAGTACTGTAATTTGCATACTCTAATCTTTATCAAAATATTTAAAAGGATTTGTGGGCACACAGTTGCACAAGTTAGCTCATTACAGACATTAGTCATTACGGCATTCATTAGACTTTAGCATCTTTACGCATTCAGAATATATCAGAAATTGAACTACTAAGTCTAATGCAACAACGTCTTGGCCCCAAAAGAAGAAATCTTAAATGGAAAAAGCTAATAGCAACAATAACTTCTTACAGGGTATGGCCAAAATTTGACTGCAATTTATACACTTTCGCGGCATACACCTATATAGTACTATACTCTATAGGAGCGGAATATCCTTCTTCAACACATGCAATAATAAAAATTGTGAATTTTTACCAATATTCAATAAATGTGGAAATAAGTTTAAATAAAAAAAAACAAAAACGAGGTGGACGTACCAAAGGGGCCATGGCCCCTCAGCCTCGTTTTAGTGTTTATCTTACATGTAATTCCACATTTAATAGTCAAAATAGAAAATTATTTTTTATACATGTGTTGAAGAAAGATATTCTGTTCCAAAACAAACAAACAAACTTGAAATCTCTTTTGAACTATTTCATTTAATGTTGTCCTAAGTTGAAAACAGTGTTGTTGCGACATAATTGTCAGAAAGGTGCATTTAAAGTATTATTATTATAGCAGGTGTTAAAGTGTTAATGATTATTCAGCTCCCTTCCCCCAACCCTCATCCTTCCCGGACATTTGTTAATTTTAATTTTTTTCGTGCAATTGGCTGGGCTACATCTTTGACTTGGATAGGATTGTAAGACCCGGTTTAGACGCTGTGCTTTTCATGAGCCGAACTTAATTCATATTTTACTCGAGTAAAATAGGCGTACTTCCAATTTTGATTTAGACAGGCATGCTTTTCATGAACCATATTAAAATCTTAATAATTTGTGCTACTTCACTTCGAAAAATGGGGCGAGTGACATTTCATAAATAATAAGAAAAAAGAGTTTATCACCTACAATCTGAGCATCTATAGGTTTGCAATTATTAAAAATTTCAATTGCTTTTTGAAAAGCTTTATTACTATAAACATAGCATAATTAATGCCTGGATATAAGGTGTGGGAAAACGAGACTTACAGGCTTACAGTGAGTTTTTCCATGTTATTCAAGTTCTCCCAAACTACTACAAGTGTTTCTATAATTATATGGGTCACACCTAATAAATGTTTGATATTTATTTCATAATATAACTAAAAAAAAAAGATTTGTAGTAGGCTCGATATATTTACAAATTCTCATTATTGTGTAATAATGCCGACCTTTGCTCCATCAAGTTTAATACTGCAGTCTGCAAGAAACCCTTTTTGCCTTTATCAGCAAATATCGCTATAACTAGTATAAGCCTGATTTTGCAACTTTTATGCAAAGAGTCTAACGAAAGGTGTATCCTTTGCTACAAATTGACGGTATATAAAGAAAAGAAAGAGAAATTGTACTGCGATATTTGCCGATAAAGCGATATTAGCAGGGTTCAGATTTGACTACCGCTACCTTAAGTAGTACACACATGCGCAATGACAGCCAAATCATTTAGTTACCGTCGTGAGTTTTGGCTTCGCTTCTTTAAAAAAGCAAAATAAAGTCGTCGAGGGAACCTTTCCACAGGTAAGCATTTTTTGACAATTTTCTGCGAAAAATATCAACTTACAGAGCCTCACAAGACACAAGTATGATCTTAATTTATTTTATTATTAATATTCTTCGCAAAAATTATTTGTTAACACAGGAGAATTTAATACGAAGGAAAAACAGTGGCACCTCAGTGCGAAATGAGTGAGAATAAAACGAATGAGAATAATACGTAAGTTTTACATCATTCTAGTCTTTGTAAAAGGTTTGCATTTTATACCTGCCTCACGTTTATATTGTCATGTTTAATTTCCTCTTACAGGGTTGGTATAAAACCGCAAAAGGAAAAAAAGTTTAGATGGAAATCTAAACATGATATTTCGCTGTTAATTGAGGTGATTTCCACCGAGCCTTACAGATGGAGACATGGCTCTCGAGAACGCGGAGAGGCCTTTCGAAGAGTTGCTGAAAACCTAAAACTAATACCTAATTCTGCCTTTCCCATCAGCCTCAATCAACGTGGAGTTCGCACTAGATTTTTCGAGCTGCTTGACTCTTTCAAGAGGCAAGAAGGCACAGAAGCTAGGGCGACTGGTATTGATGCAGAGTTTGATGAAAAAACACAGTTGTTAATGGACATCCACAACCGTATGAAAGATTTCGAACTTGGCTTCGTCCAAGAGATAGAAAAAAAGCAGGAGCAACAAGAGAAAGAAAAGGCAACCACAGAGGAAATGCGGCGAAAGGCAAGTGTTTTACTCGGGGAAACTTCACAACGAAAAGAGCTAGTTACCCCAAGCAAAAAAAGAAAGTCTACTGAGTTTGTGGAATACTTAAAGCAAAAAGAAGAGGGCAACAGACTAAATACAGCAAGGCAGCTAAATAATCGCGAGGAAGAATTAAAATTGGAAAAACAAAAGCTAGATTTACAACAAGGGATGCAAAATCAAATGTTGGAGCAATTGAGAATGCAGCAACAATCTCAAGTAGCAATGTTTAATTTGTTTCAAACCTTTTCAGATAAGTTCAAGTCCCAATAATTTTTCTTGAATGTTGACAGTTAGTTTGCTATCATTGTTCATATACAAACTATAAATAACTGTATTGTTTTGTTGTCAAATTATAATAGTTGAATTTAATTGTTGTGTATAAATAATTTACAAAGTCAATATAATTTTTGGAATAAGTTTGATTGTGTACAAGAATATGTTTGGAATAAAGGATTTTTAAAACTTTGTCAAAATGTCAATTATATCTAATCTAACAGGGATTACTGTCGTTCCAATTGAAGTGTTCTTCAAATATTGATTCAATACATTATCTCAGGCTGAACAATTCATTTCATCAAGTTCCTCGAGATATTCATACACTTCCTGTGAAAGAGCCAATTCCAAGTATTTGATCATTTCTGGTCACTTCCTTTCTATTTATGATTGGTTAGTTGCACAAACAACAAAAGTGATTGGTGCATTCAAACTATTCAACAGGAAGTTTACAGTTATACTAGGAAGTGTATGAATATTTCTAGGAACTTGATGAATTGAATCAATATTTGAGGAACACTTCAATTGGAACGACAGTAAATATTTTGTCCACATTACACTTCTAATCCCAAGATCACACACAAAATATGTGAGAACTCAATATACAACTTCATGGTCATTATTTATGAAGGAAAATAATCTGTTCTTCTTTAATGTTCCAAATTAATGCACCATGGCCCTCCACAAAACAATTGATTTACATCGATTGACTAAAATATTCATCCAAGTGTGGGGGCACCAGACGAAAGAATTGTGAGGTTTGTGAACCATAGACACATGTTTTCGTATTGAAAATCAAACACGACACTGCATAAATCTTTGCAACTGACTGCAATCCGATCTTTAAATTCTTTTTAAAGTCACTAAAAGCAAAGTAGGTGGCAATTTCCCCAAATGGCCATTCCACAGCGACTCTAATAGAACTCACAGATTTGTTGAACTGTAGCTGAGCCTGGGTCAGGTTTGCGCCTTTATATGGACACTGCAGGGGAATTCTGTGTGAATATGCAGGATCTCCATATACAGGGTGTATAAAAAAAAGGTGGTAATCCAACTTCAGCAGGCTATTGTATGTGATCTACTTCACGTATGAACAATTTTTTTCATATTCTGAAAGATCAGGCTTTTAGCTGTTGAATGACACGTTTTTAATATGAAATGGAGAAAAAATGAGCAAATACGAGTCCGATAAAAAATGGTAGTCAAAATCGCATATTTTCACCTCTGTGCCTAATTAAAGCAGAGCATAACAAAAGAAAAAACAATTAATCACAAACATGTCACAGCTTGCGTCTGGTTTTACAACATATTTATTGAAAATTATTTACATTTAAACTTTAAAGAGTTTATGCACCGATGCCTTCAACATGACCACCATCTCTCTCGATACAAAGTTGACATCACTGCCGCATTGCTTGGAATGTTCTTCTGATTAGCGCGGGATTATTTCTCAACGCTTCAACTTCATGTCGAATGCGGTTCTGCAGATCATTCAGATCATGTGGCGGGCTTGTGTACACTTTATTCTTTAGGTAACCCCAAAGAAAGAAATCGCAAGGAGTAAGGTCAGGGGATCTTGGTGGCCATTCCACATTATGGTAGAGGGCAATCACACGATGACCAAACAGTTCTCTTAACCGATCACGGACCGCAATTAAACGATGTGCTGGAGCACCGTCTTGCACCCACCAGAGATTTTGGAATACCCCCTCAATTTGCCTCTGAAAATGTTGCTGAAGTTGTGGCACAACGTCGTTCTTTATCATTTGGAGATAAATTTGTCCAGTGACATTTCTTTCAAAGAAAAATGGACCAATTATCTGGCCGCTGCCACAAAGCCCAATCCAAACCGTCGTCAATTTTTCTCGACTGATGTTGACCTCGTAGTTGAACTCGGGCAGTTGTCCTGCGAATGCATACTCTCTAACATTGTGGGTGTTTACTTGGCCGTTCAGGGCAAATGCAGCTTCATCTCCAATAACGAATGGGCGAAGGAAATCCTCGTTTCTCTCATAATGGTCACCTAGCCATCGCGCAAACTGCATTCGCCGAGCATAGTCTCGAGGAAGGAGTTGGTGTCGGATGTGCATGCGGTAAGGGTGGATGTTTACATCTAGCCTGGTTATCCTATTAAAAGTAGCAGATGGTAGGTCCACACCATTCCATCTTGTGCTGGTACCTGTGGGATGATCAGCCAGTTGCTGTCTTGCTGCCTCAATGTTGGCTTCTGATCTTTCAGTGCGACTTCTGCCTGAATTTCCCTTGTTTCGATTTAAAGTTGTGCCGTGTTAGGAAAACTTTCTCACATTCGCCCAAATTGTTTTAAGTGCAGGCGGTTGCCGGTTAGGGAAACGTCCCCTAAATGTCTCGCGAGTTCTTTGCAAACTTCTGGTTTGGAAAAAGGTTTTGATGATGAATGTTCTTTGTTCTACCGTAAGTTGCACCATGTTTGCATTTATTCAATGACTGAGAGCCAGCAATTGTACCATTTTTGCATAAAAATTGATTAGGTAATCGCAGTGCAGTGACTAAATGCAAAACATCAACTTTTTGGAAACGAAAATTCAGTAGACACTCTTCATCGGTGTATTTATTGAGCTCAAACCGTGGATAATTTCTGTGAGGTACCGGCGGCAGTAGCTCTGTTAAATAAAGGTAAAATCCGAGCAATTCCTTGTCTTCTAAGTCACCTTCGTCTTCTACCAAAAACAACAGTTCTTCTTCGTAAATTCTCAGAGCTGCCATCTTTATTTTTGACAAGACGAAGAAGTCGCAGAAGAACTGGACTCAAAACTGAACTAAAAAAACGTATTGTCGCGACCTCAACCGATTGTGCCAATGAGAGGTAGCGGTAGCGGTAGTCAAATCTGAACCTCGCTAATAAATCACTACAGAGTACAGAAAAAATAGAACAAATTTGACAGAAATTCAAAACAGGCCAGAACCTGTAAAATCGAAAGTTGATTTTACAACTTGCACTTGAAAAATAGATTTGTAATTTTCAACTTCTGCTGATTGAGTAATTTTAGTGTATGCAATCTATCATGCTATACTGTGTCAGTACCTCGATAATGATATATACAGATTACAGGACATATAGCCTAGTACCGCATCGTCTGCGACCTTCTTATATGTAGTATATTGTATGCTATGCCATACTAGCCGGCTAACAATGAATCTCAGCCTCAGAGCAAGCGAAAACCAGCTCGTTCGAGAACTAATGTGCAGAACGGATTTGACATGGTCCTTAAATCCATTTGTGTGGTGTGGGGGGGGGGGTCGGAAGCTATTCCACCCCCTCCCTTTTTATAATAATAGGTTTATTCAAAAACTTATTGCAGCAAATGCTGAAATACAAGTTAATACATAAATTATCGAGAATAACTATATCTTTAAAAAGTTACATATGTTACATGTTAGAAGATATCAATATTTACAAGTTATAAAATTTAAAAATCTATCAGTATTTACGGAATTAGAACACTTAGATTCGCTTAAATATCGTAAGTTATGTTCATGATTTATCACAACGCTGTAATTGAAGAGCTTTTTAAGTGGACCAGACGATTTATTGTCTTTAGCAAACTTTTTACAAATCTCTTCTCATCTTTTAATCAACGTTTGGAGACCAGCCTTCTGCAGCGATTCTTCATATGACGATCCAGGGTCAATTATTTTTAAGGCTCGCTTTTGGACTCTCTCATCTTATCGCGGATGCGAACACATTGTTTCCTTCTCGTCAAAAGGCTCAAATCCATCCCACTACAGCGGGGCGTACATTCAATTTCTCTGATTCAGCAACTATGACACTGTGATCAACTAAATCGAAACCTTTACTAAAGTCAGCGAAAAATACATGTGCCGAGGACACACCTCGGCCAAGGGTCTCCAGAACATTATGTAGTAAAAACACTAATGCTTGTTGTTGTAGAACGGCCTTTCATCGCAAACTGATATGGGTCAATCTGGTCGCCAATATTGGCCAGTAAGGGTTCCAAAGTGAAGCCTTCCATTACTTTGGCTATCTGAGGTGTTGGGAACAATTGGAATTGGCATATATAAATAAGGATTACCACTAGAAAGTCTTACTCGATATTTTTCCGCCCGTTTATTCTTGCATGATATTTGTTTTAAGTTTGAAGTGCTTGCCCGATATTTTTTTGGATTCTAATAATGTCATTAAATATATTGAAATATTATGCTTGACTGTTTGTATCAAAGGAATGGTTGAACTCATCACAAGGACCAGAAAAAGAACACCAATTGCTGGATGCGAGATTCCATCGAAGCGAGCTTTTAACATTTTGTCAGTTTCCGTTGTGACAACATTCGACATGAAATGGTTCTTCAGATATAAGACTTCGACATGAAATGGTTCTTCAGATATAAGACAGAAGTGATGAAATACAGTGCTAACCATGATCGCTACCAATCCAGTGCCAAGATTGAGCAAGATTGGAAGGGTGTCTTTTTTTTCCCTTTTGTGGATTATAATTGTTCCATTTTTAGTTGCCTCCGATTGGGTCGTGGAAATATCATTGACATTGACTGTTTTGTATTTGAATGCTGGTCTCTTAGTGAAGCCTTGTGCTGTTATTGCTGTTGTGGTCAAAATGCATACAACAACCGAAATCCATTTTGAGCGCTTTTTTCGTTCTTCTGGTAGTTTCTCCCATTCAATATCATTGCTTTGTTTTTCATGCATAGTTAAATGTGATAATATTGCTGTAATTTGGTGCATATTTTGCCAAAGGTAGTCAATTTGTCCCGGACCTTCTGTGGCCCCGTCCTTGATTGTATCAGATCATGTCAGCAGCATGTAGTAAATTACATAAATAACATCACCCGAAGTTCGAAGGTTTTACTCAAAATGAATTTTATCGCTGAAAATTGCTGAATGTTTTTCATCTATACAACTTTAGAAAGTGCAAATATGTTCAGATACATGGGCCATCATTTGAATATTTACCATCAAAGAACAAATATGACTCCACTTGAACACAAGTGTAAACTTTATGACCTATTAACAATATAATACAAAATTTAAAAAAACCTTATTAATGTCACATTTAACCAATACCTTACCCCTGCAACTAACCCCTCTGCCACATGCCACTTCGACCCTAACTATAACAAAATCATGATATTTTCTGTGTTGGTGTGATGTTACTCTGAGTGTATATCCACACCGGGCAGGCTTGAAAAACATGCCTCGTCATGGTGGGAATCGAACCTACGACATTTGGATACTAGCCTAATGCTCTGCCAACTGAGCTATGTGAAGCTCTGCCAACTTCGAGTATGTGATATTTCGGAACCAAGTCTAGTTCCTTTGATATCAATGTAATCTAGTAATCATGATATTTTCTGTGTTTTTCTGTTAGTATCCAAAGGTCGTAGGTTCGATTCCCACCGTGGCTAGGCATGTTTTGCAAGCTTGTCCGGTGTGGATATACACTCAGAGTAACATCACAAGTATCTTATCACAAAATCGTCTCCAATAATAAAGAATTCTTCCGACAACTCCTACTTCCCACGCACGGTCATTTTCTGGAACAATCTACCACTGAACATCAAAGCCGCCCATTCCCTACAGATCTTCAAGTGCCATCTACACTGTTATTGCAAAGTCGAACTGTCTACCTACATACCACCATAAATAATTATACTCTAAATTTCGTTGTACAGACCCTATATGTTAAGTTGCATGTAATCTGTGATATGTTCGTGCATAAGTGTCTTAGTGCGTCTCGTTATCCATTAATTGTTAAGGGTTCGAATATCAATTGGAATTTAGGTTCTGTTTTCTTCTCCTGTCACAGCATTTTCCAGTTCATATTGTTTTTGTTATATTGTCATGTTGCTTTAACGACTTGGCACGATGTTTAGTTTTGTGTATAGGCTAATAAATATTCGCGTATTATATTATTTTGGTATATACGCCTCTCAATTCATACAGATGTTTGACAAATTTGCATTGATTCTGTCATTGTGGTATAGTAAGTGGGTTTTATGTCAATCCCGATTCAAAATATTTACATGTCCGTTTTGCTATGTATGCTGGCTCTAATGCCTTCATATTACATTCTTAAAGTGGCACTGTCATCAAAATTTGTATTTTCATAAACGAAAATGCTCTTAAAACTGTATAGTAAGTTGTTTTGAAGATTTTTGTTCCTATGCTTAGTTATTGAGATATTTCATTTAGTTTGTAACCATGTGACATTTACTCAATTACATATATAATGAGATCAGTGGCGTAGCCGAGGGGGGGGGGTCGCCCCCCCAATAGTCTCCAAAACCGCTCTTGTGAAAAGTTCAAATCCGGGGAGATATTGGGGGGGGGGATGAGGTAAGCTACGAGTCAAATCCAAGTAAAAACTTCCAAACAGCGCATAATTATCTGATCATTTGCGTGATCTTCGTAGACGGAAATTTGAAGTAGGTGCATCCGGCTTATTGCATCGAATTTCAGAAATATTCAAAACGCGTTGCAATGCTTGCGTGTTTGCGTCATAAACGGTATTATTTTATATGTGTTTGTATCATGTTACATGAGTCTACAAAAATCATGTAATAACCACTCAGCCTAATTAGTCTAGGATGAATATGCAAATATTTTAGAGCCTGGACTGACGTAATCAGGCACGTTTCAGTTTAGGCATTGGCTAAAAACTATTGAAGGAATTCGCTTGCTCATACTGTATTGCATGAGACATTATGTCATCGTTCTAGCAATAGTAATTAGGTCATAATTTTAACTCCATCCGTCAGTATAAAAAGCCTACATAATCTAATCCATTATTCATAGCCTCATAGCCCATACTCGCGTATTATGCAAAATGGCTGAAGCTTCTGCTCCTCCTGATCTCTCAACATATCAATATGACCCTTGCTGTCCCTTGCCAACTGGAAGGGCAGCAAGGGATCACGTAATAAGCAAAGGACCTTGCCGGCCTAGAGATCATATCTTTCCTGTGGATAAGCGTAATCGTAAGTTTCTAGTGTCGTGGTACGAAAAATTCGATTGGCTCGAGTATTCAGTATCATTAGACAAAGCGTTTTGTTTCGTCTGCAGAGTGTGCAACGCACAGGTGAGTTGTTTTAAGTATTTTGTATTATTTGCGTTTTCATTCTCGTTAAGATATAACTTTGTTACTTAAATTGCCTGAATTATAAACTTGAGCTACTAAATGTTTATTATCTATCGTACTTATCGTATTTTTTGCACTTTTGCAGGTCTCATTAAGAAGCGAGCCAACATTTATCAAGACTGGATTTTCCAATTGGAAGAAAGTTGAAAATCTTTCAAAGCACGAGAAATCAGATTGCCACAAGCATTCATTGCAAGCGTATCGTCACTGGAAATCACAGAAGCCAGTAGATCATCAGATGAGCGAAGAAGCTGAGAGGCAAGAGAGTTATCGTCAACAAAATGTACGTCCCTCTAATATTTGCTGATGGAAAACAACTAGCTTGCATTTATAATGTCACTATAAGAGCCAAAAACAAAGTCAGAAAAAAAATATATTTTTTCTTTAGGTGAAAAAAAATCGAACTATTATTGGAAAAATTATTGATCTTGTGCGACTGTTGGGCAAGCTGAATTTACCCTTCAGAGGGCATCGTGAGGATGAATCCTCGCTGAACAAAGGTGTTTTTAAAGAATTTCTAGCACATGTAGCGAAGTCTGACTCAATTATCCATAACCATCTAAGTAGTTCTGCAGGTAATTTAAATTATAGCTTTTTTTCATACACCTGAATGTTTAATTTTCTTGAAGTCGAAGAAAACAGTTGTTTTTTTACTTTTGAACACTTACAAAAAGATTGAAACAATTAAAAAATAAACAGTGAACAGTGATATCTTTTGATCAATGATATTGCTATATTTTTTCCATTCAAAAGCAAGAAAATTGATAGATATTTTGTAGTTATTTCAATTACATGCACGCAAGTTTTAATATACATATTTTTTATCGTTTTTAGACAACGCTAGATATACCAGTCCAGAAATCCAAAATCAGATGATTGAGATAGTTGGTTCATCCATTGTAGATGAAATTATACGCCGTGTCAAAGAAGCAGAGCTCTATGCAATCATGGCTGATGAAACACCTGACAATAGCAAAACGGAACAGTTGTCTCTACTAATCCGGTATGTTTGGAATGGAACGGTCGAGGAACGCCTTATAGCAGTTGAACCCATGGAGGAAACAACAGCTGAAGCTCTATTCAATACAGTCCAACGCAAGTTACAGCAATGTGGAATAGAAGTTGCTAACATGCGCGGGCAGTGTTATGACGGTGCAAGTAACGTGTCTGGGATCCACACTGGACTGCAAGCGCGTATCAAAGAGCTTTCACCATCAGCGCTTTACACGCACTGCTACGCTCATGTCTTGAATCTAGTGATCGTAGACACCATGACGAACAACACAGTAGCAAAAGACTTCTTTGGAACGCTGCAAAATTTATATGTGTTTATTGAATCTTGCCCGAAACGACATGCTGTGTATCTGAAACACCAAAGAGAGTTCAATGCTGCCGTTGAAGGAACAAACAAGCGGGAATATGTCCTCAAGAAGTTGTCAGATACCAGATGGGCGTGTCGGGCGGACAGCATCACAGCAATCTATAACACATTCGAAGCGGTAATCGCAACTCTAAAGGAGGTCAGAGAAAAAGAAAAGAAGCCACATATTGCTGCCGAGGCAAAAGGGTTGCTTCAAAATATCTACGACTTCGAGTTTATCTTAGCTTTGGAGGTATGCACAACTTCAATAAATATATATTTAATTGTATGTATTCTTGAGTTCAACGCCTCATAATAATTCGTATACTTATGCTCGGGTATTCAACAAGGTGAAACTTTGACTGACTGTCACCCATACAATATGGGGGCCATACACCTGCAGATTTCAGATTGCTTATTTGATTTACCACAGGACGAGAAAATAGATTTGCAACAACTTTGCAACGCGGTGCAAAGGTACAATTGCCGTAATCGCATCAATTTGCTATTTGAAAAGCAAATTGGTAAGCAAAATTTTCACCCTCAAATTGGTAACTACAATTCTTTTTTATGAGAGGAAAAGGGTATAGGATAAATTTGGTTCAAATTACCTTTCATTTGCACAAGTGAATTAGTGGGTATTTTCGTCCATAATTTGGTTTCTAAATTTGCTAAAATATTTGCAACCATGCAAATCTGATGCGATTACGGCAATTGCACCTTTCCACCGGGTTGCAAAGTTAGTGCAAATCTACTTTCTCGTCCCCCCCCCAAATAACCCCCTAGCTATGGCCCTGGGTACATTATATGAGAAATTATAGAAACTGGGACTTCAGGTTTGATCACTCGGACTTTATTATTAGGAATGGGATTATTTTATGAGTGTGAGAGTCTTTCAGAACTCAACTCTTCAGACCCTCGGACTTTTGTATCGTAAATGTATATTCATTTTAAGGTACTCAAAAAAGTCTTGCTTCTAAGTAAAGGGGTATCCGATAAATTGCAATCTGAAGACTTGGACGTTGTTACCGGCTGCGAGAGGGTCACAGATCTGCTCGCCTCAATCAGGGCTCTTCGGTGCGAACCAAAGTTTGAAGCTTTCTGGGAAAGTACTCTTCAAAAATGCCGCATACTAAGTATTGAAGAACCAAAAGATGAACGCGTACGTAAGATTCCTCGGAGAATTGACGACAATCCCGAAACCGCCGTCCACCTGTCGCCAAAAGACAAGTTTAGAGTTTCTTTCTATTATAATGTAAGTCACTCGATTACCGGATTACGCATATGTATAATTATAGGGTTGCCCGCCTAAATATAGACTGTCTCTAATACAAAATAAAAAGTAAAAGTAGGTGTGCATTTAATACTATCAAACTCATTAATAATTCATGAGGAAAATTGAAAAGAAATACATGTTTAATCAGTGTCTGTATACGCTGATAAAGAACCGTCCTGATTTGCATAAACTTTTCTCGCAATTTTCTAAGTTTATAACATTTATTTTTTAAACATAATTTGAAAACATGATTGTCTGTTTGAGGTCGTTTGATAAGTAATTTACAAAATTTGTGTCCGTTCTGTATCAGTGTACACAGATACTCGTGCGAAGCACTCGTGTCTGTATACACTGATACGGAACGGCCACTTATTTTGTAAATAGTACTAAAAGTAGGTGTATTAAAGAATGTTTAGAATTATTTTCTATATTGTAGATACTAGATCTTATGAGCTCCTCAATTGAAAGCCGTTTCGACAAACATAATGCGCCAGTTCTAAAGGGACTTGGATACTTGGGTCCATCTCGTTTAGCCAGTCCAGAAGCTTGGGAAAACATATCTTTAGCAGTCCAGTGGTTCCAAAGTGACCTAGATGTTGATGCATTAGAGAGCGAAATCTTTTCTTTGCAGACATCATTGCTGCTCACCAATGTCAATAAAAAAGCGAAGTCCGAGAAGAGAAAGGCCAGTTTTGACGACCTATTCAAGGTGTTGCAAACGGAGCCAGAATGCTACGGAAACGTCATAAAGCTAATGAAAATAACTTTGACACTGCCACTTACCTCAACTAGTGCTGAAAGAGCATTTTCGAAGTTGAAACTGATCAAGTCCAGACTAAGGTCAACAATGAAGCAAGAAAGGCTAGAAAGTCTTATGCTGATGTCTGTGGAAGCCGACATATTGGAACAGCTTGATCTGGAAGAGCTTGTAGAAAAATTTGTAGATATGGCTCCAAGAAAAATGGATTTAGTTTAAAGTTAGATGGATTCAGTTTAAATTTAGATAGCATAGCAAATGTGTAATGATGACAATAGGTCTAAAGTTTTATGAAGTTTTCAGTTGGTAATCAACATAATTATTAAATCTAAAGATTTTGTCAAGGGTATTGCGTCTTGTTGTAGAGTAATATAACCGAATTTTGTGATTTATGACCGCCCAATTACTTTAAAAACTCGCATCAGAATGCAGGAAATGGCGTTTCCGAGCCCTGGAAACCAAAATTTTCCCGGGGGAGCATACCCCCGGCCCCCCCTAGGGGGTTCGTGGCTTCGCGAACCGCTTTCCCCCCAAATATTCGACCCTGGCTACGCCACTGCTCATCTAGGGGGCTCTTGCACAAAAATAAAGATTTACATATCAAAAAGTTCAAGCATGCAACACACAAATATCACACAATCACACAACATCAATAATTATAGCGTTTTGAATATATCACAATCAGATCATCGCTTTGAAACACGTTAATTACCTACTGCAACAAGCCCTCAGAAACACAAACATCGAGAATTTTCTAGTACCTCAGACAGCTTGTTACAGTTACTGACCATAATATTTTTTTACCTTATTTACGAGCTGAGAAACGAGATGTATCAATAATAAATATTTGTACAGCAAAAAACAATCTATGGTTTACATTAAAAGCAACGTTATTACATCCAGAAAGCAAAAAAGAAAGTTTCCCAGTTCTATTAGAATTGAACCAATAATTCCCAAGACATTCTGCAGCCGTAGTAAGTAAAATCGAACGGTAAGTATCCCAAAGCGGGCAATGCAACAAATAATGTTCAGTAGTTTCACGATGGTATCCGCACGCACATGTAGGAGACGGTATACAATTATGACGGAAAAGGTCATCATTTAAAGTACTATTACCTAACCGAAGTCTCGTGTGTAAAACTGAAGGATACCTAGCACCGACTTCGAAAATCTTCCGACATTTTTTTTTACAAAATAGACTCTTAATTGAAGTTTTAAAATTAGTAACAGACGGCAAATTTCTAATTGAATCAGATAAGGAATTCCAAGCAGATATAGCCGATGGAAAGAACGACTGTTGAAATCTAGATGAAGAACATAAAAAATTGCATATATCATCACTGTTGCGGAGTGGATAATTGGATATTTGAGATACCGGCTTTGGTAAAACAAAATAAAGATAGTCAGGAACCATTCTGTTCTTAATTTTGTATAAAACTGACAATTTATGAATATATCGTCTGGTTTCTAATTTATCCCAGGAGAGTTCTTCTAGCAGAGCTACACGGTTAGTGCCTTTTATAGCACCAGTAACGAGGCGAGCTGCATCAAATTGAATTCTTTCGAGAGCATTACTGCACTCTACCCCACAACCATCCCATATAAAATCACCATATTCCATTAAAGGTCTAACTAAAGAAATATACATGCTATTTAATGTAGTTCTGTTCAGACGAAATCTCAAACCTTTTAACATATTGAATCTTTTGGCCGCTCTTTCGCTGATGACACATATGTGATTTTGCCAGGAGAGATCACTTGAAAGATTAATGCCTAAGTGACAATGCAAATTAACGTCTGGTATAGTCGCTTGATTTAACAAAAGTCTAGGGTGATCAGGCTTGTTATTCTTAACAGAAAAAAATCATCGATCGTGTTTTACTGGGATTCATGGTTACCATCCATTTATCGGCCCAACTAGATATAGATGCAAGATCAGTATTAAGCTTAACAGCAGAAGTTGTTGGAGAATCTACCACATCTAAAATCATAGTGTCGTCAGCAAATAAAAAAGCCTCAGATTGTATGTCATTAGTAATATCATTGATGTAAATCAGAAACAGGAGTGGCCCAAGAACACTGGCTTGGGGTACTCCAGCATTGACTTTTTCCCAGGTCGAATTGGTCCCCTCAACAACTACTCGTTGAAAACGATTAGAGAGATAGCTCTCCAGCCATTTTAGTAATGTACCTTTGATTCCAATAAATTTCAATTTTCTTATCAACCCCTCGTGCCAAACTTTGTCAAATGCCTTACTAATATCCAGAAACACAGCTCTTACTTCTTTTCCTTCTTCTAAGCTGGAATATATTTGATGAACAACATATGTTAGTTGCAAAACAGTTGAATGGCCAGGACGAAAGCCGGACTGTAAATTATGTAAAAATCCAATTTCGATCAAGTAATTATAAAGGCGAACAAAAACAATTTTTTCGCAAATTTTAGACAAACTTGGTAGTAGGGACACAGGACGGTAATTAGATTTTATGTTATGCTCATCCTTCTTAAAAATGGGTAAGACATTTGCAAATTTCCATTGTTTGGGATATTGGCCTAGAGAGAGGGATGTGTTAATTAATCTAGTGAAACTGTAATAGATACCATAAGCACAAAGTTTAATCATACGATTCCCAATGCCGTCGTGACCACATGCTTTAGAAATATCAACACTTAAGAGCAATTTTAACACTTCATCAGGATTAGCAGCAATACTAGACAGCGATGAGTTCGGCAAAAATTGACCTGCAAAATGCAGTGGAGGGCATTGTGGATCCAGTGTAGCCTGGGAAACAAAATAATCATTGAAAAGTTTCGCCTTTTCCTTTGGATCATAAACATAAATATAATTTTCTTTCAAGGGTGGAATTGTAGAACACACTTTTGTGCCGTATATGGATTTAACCACTCCCCACCATTTCTTTGCGCTTATTTTGGGATTACTTAACATAGCATTTAATTTTACATAATATAGAGCTTTTTCTTTCCGAATTATGCTAACCGTTAGGTTACGCTGAGTTTTGTAAAGATCCCAATCCCTAGGAAGTTTTCTTTCATTATACTTGCGCAACAATCTGTTACGCCTACGTATTGATCGTCTAATTATACTGTTCATCCAGGGTTTATCATTTGGACGAACAGTAATTACTCTCAAAGGTATAAAGTTGTTTACAATATTAAGAAATCGTGAAGACCAGGTCTCATAAAGGGTATCTATATCATAAACATTATTAAACAGAGATTCCCAATTGAAAGACAGCAGTGAGCTAGTCAGAAGGTTTACGTTTACCACATTAAAATTATAGATAGGCCTCTTATACGTTCTATGACTGTAAACAGATAGATTGAATTTGGCAACAATAGCATTATGGTCACAATTTGCTGGTGGACTAAGTGTAAAGTGACTCGTACAATACATAGGAGAGTCAGTAATAACTAAGTCCAAAATGGTTTCGCTAGTTGCAGTGATTCGAGTCGGTTCCTCAATTAATTGGAATAAATTATTACAGCTAAGGAAGCGCGCAAGATCTATGCCGCATTTAGTAGAAGATTGGTGGTCTTTAGGATTAAAATGTGCATTAAAGTCTCCAGTTATAACAACTGCGTTAAAATTCGAGCGATCAATTGCATCAAGACTATCTTGCAGCAACGCCAGAAAAACATCCATATCAGAAGTAAGGTGCGTGGGGGGTCTTATAACAAACCCCGATCAAAATCTTAGAATTTAACAAAATAACTTCACACCACAATAGTTCTAAATTAGGCATCTCAAGATCAAACCTTCTCTTATAAGAGAGACAATTTTTCAAGTAGAGAGCAACACCACCACCCCTGCCATGTGTTCTATTTTTTAATAACGGTAAATGATAGCCGTTCATATTATGTGAATCCTGAATGCTAACATTTGAAGTTAGCCATGTTTCTGTTAAAGCGAAAGCATCGAAATTATTAACTCCTAGAAAAGCGGAAATTTGATCAATTTTATCCTTGTTTACTATACTCCGAACATTTAAATGAGCTAGAGTAAAGTTCCGTGGTGAAGGTCCAGGATTAACATGAACATCAAACGATAAACAAATTAAAATGGTATAGAATGCCAACATGAGTGCGAACACCATCGCCGAACTTATTGCTGATTTAGCATATGAGTAACAAACTACAAATTTCCGAAAGTTATAAAGCCCAATAGCTGCTCGATAGCTTTCTAATGAATTACCCATACCATGAAAATCATAAAATCTTACCTTAGACTGCAGAAAATAGGTCAAGAGAATAAAATAAAGCGCCAAATAAGTATGGTTAAAGAATATAACAGTGCAAAAACAAAAATATATATGAAAATAAATAATGAATTCACCACAAAAGGAACAGCGACTAGTCTTCGTAGGAATTTACATCATCCTGAACCGTTTCTAATTTTTGAATGTCTTCTTTGCAGCGTACTAAGTGGGTAGTCTCATCAGGTAGCTTCACAAACACCTTTCCGTCACTCGACCATGTTGCAGCAACGAAAGACGCACCGCGTGCTTCATAATAGAGATCTAAATTGTAAGCAGTAAAGTCTTCATTTATAAATAATCCTGCGGCCCCTTTAAGCTTACTGCGATGCTTGATAACTTCTGCTTTGGTTCGGTAACTCTTAAACTTTACAATTATTTGGCGGTCTTTACTCCCACGCTTGCCAACTCGATGAATACGATCATATTCTGAATTTTCAATTGTTAACCCAAGCTTGCTTTGAAAAAATGTAGATACTTTTTCATAGCAGTCCTCTTCTGGGTCTTCTTTGATTCCACCGATGCGAATATTGTATTTACGCGAGTATTGTTCATTAGCATTCGTTTTTAGCATCAAATAGTTAATATCTTTCTTCATCTTATCATTAGCCAAGCGAAGGTCAATATTTTCCTTCGAGAGTCTTTGGACTGTGTCTTGAATAGGCTTTACAATGGCGGCCAACTCATCCTTGAGTGCGTCTTTTACGAGAGTAGACATCACTTTAGTCATCGTTTCACTTGTTAGCGATTTGGCAATTTCATCTTTAATGAGAGTCCGCATTTCTTCCCTGAATTTAACTATGTCTGGAGCTTCGGTTTTATTACACGATGCCCTTGTCTTTGGAGCCGCCATAACGACAATAATACGCAAACACAATGCCCAATGGAATAATGTAACTGATTTAAAATGATCAGCACTTGGGTATAGCTGCAATCCTTCCGTAGTTAGTAGGTTTTACATATACATATAGAAACCACTATAAATATAAACGATAGTGTAGTAATAATTGATAATATTTCACCAGACACGGAGCAACAAAAAATGTGACTTCTCTCTTGAACTATGTATGAATAATTGATAAACTGGCTGCTTCATAATAGCTGAATTCATATTAGGGACAGGAAAGTCATCTGTAAAAACCGTCTGAATATGAGCAGGGATGGATAATTATCACGATAATCATTCTGTTTATTTCCCTTACCCTACAGTAGTGTTGGTAATGAGTTGAATTTCGTCTGATTTATTCATCTACATTCGGTAAAGTAATTTGGATGGAAAGCCTGTCTAACACCACTACACCAGACAATTTAATATACTCATCAAGGGGAGAGTTTTGGAGCCTAATGGGTTAATTGACTGGTCTATGCCCCTGTGTTCAGTTAACTCATTGAGTTGCACTGTGCTCTGATGTGCCCGACTTTATTATTGTATTCTGCCTAATGCCAGACAATTTTACTCATTAAGGGGATAGCAAAGGTGCTTAATGGGTTCATTTGTCCCACAATAGTGTGTGAGAAAATGTTTTCTGCTTCTTTCCTTTCTCAGCCAGCAGAAAATAATACTTTGGTCAAACTAAATTAAATACAGTTATCTCCTTAACTCTATTCAGAACTTACTATGTAAATTTAGCACTGCGAACCCAAAAAGAAAGCCATTTATCACAAATGAATATGGATACTCCCCATGGTGTGTCTGGTAAGTAATAAGTTTTACTATTAATTGGAGACTAAATATACTATTTCTATATCCGAAATTGATTTACAGCTACCAGCTGACACTGGGTAGCTCTGCAACAGATAAATAAGCAGTCTGATATAAGGTATTAACCAATTTTTGCTGTGATTTTGCCTCTGAGTTTGTTCTCTTCTAGTGTCATTGAGTAATGCAAATTGATGCAAATTCCCATCCGAAATCGCTATAAATATAATCAAATGTAAACCTTTATCTGTAGTAGTAGAATATATTTCACATTGTGGTACACTGTGTCATGTTACAATTAGTGTGTCATACATGTGTCTGCTACTGTTTTTACTATTTTAATTTTTAATTTTATAATAGATCATATCTCCAACCTTATTGAAGATTTAAATGATTGTACAGCAGTTGCAAATGAGATATGGGTGAAACTTGTTTCCACTCACAATGAGTGTGGTGATATTACCAAATTGTTGGCCGATTATGTGAAACAGAACAGTAAAAGAGAGACTCTTACAACTGCTGTTGTTAAGATGTATGAAGCAGAGATAACAAACTTAAAAGGGGATGTCTGTGTGAACCAATTATCTGTGAACCAAAAAGCCAAAATCAAAACTGAGATGAGGATACTTGAGGATATATGTGACCAGAACATTCGTGGATGTTCAGTTTTGGAATCTGCTGAAAGCATCAATCCTACACTCTTTAAGGAAATGTTGGAAGTGTTATCTGAAAAATGCCCACTTGTGTATGAAATGCTTGAATCCCTTGTAGTTTCTAATCCAAGAAGTCGGAACATTTTGAAGACAAGCACTCACAAGATTTTATGTGGCTTACAAACATTAGGTTTCATGAGTAATATCAGAAACTCAAAAACAATAAATTGCTTCCCCCTTATGTTTGGCCTTCTTTGCATCTCCTATGGAGCTGGAGAAAGGTTCATCAACATGCTGCAATCAATGGGTCTTTCTCTTCACTGGAACACGATGTAAGAATCACACAATGTAGTGGGTAATATACTCTGGCTGAAAATTATTGCTTAATCTTTGTAAAGTAGGATGCATTGCACTTACAGTAAGTAAAATGCACACATTATTGTCATTTCTGATATTCTCTGGTTAAAAATATATATTTTAATTATACAAGCTTTTGAATGTCAGTCAGCAGTCTTTGGCGAGTACTTATAAATTGAAGTGAAGACTGCATCCAACAGCCATGTTGGAAGCTTGTGTTAATAAAACACATATTTTTAACAAAGTACAGCATCCAAAATACTTATTACAATCCTGGTTTTGCATGCAAAATCCTTTAAATATGTGCATAATTTTGGAGATGAACATGTTAAGTACTTAACAGATGTGAACAATGTTTCTCCCCTTTTCAAAAAATATTTTAGTCCTTTTTGAAAAAAATTTAGTCCTTTGACTTAGCTTAGTTTCCATTATGTGATACATCTCTTAAGAATGTTATCAGTTGATAAAATCACCCGCTCTATTATATTTCCCTGCCTAACAAAATTTTTGTTGAAGTCATTCATGTGACACATAGTCATAGGCATAATTTATTTCTAATATTTTAATGCTTATAAATGGGTTAACGTGGCTCAATACAGTTTTTTAAAAAAATGGAAAATTCATGATTTAGATGCGTATTTCTGGACAATTATTACTTGTTGATAAACAAAAAGTACCTTGCTAAAATAAAACAACATCTAAAGAGTTTGAATTGTTACACAAAAGTTATGCAAATGCTGTTGCTATGGCAACAATGATGTTTCAAGTTGGCGGATATTTTCGCTTTAAAGTAATTTAACTCGTAAACGACATCGGTGATCACTCCCAAATTTTATTTTAAAAAATTATTTCTCTTAGTATAATCCATTATTTTGACAATTTTAAAAAATTCTGTGGAGCGGAAATTTTTTAAATTGCGTAAAGGTGATTATTCATAATAATTTTTTTTGGCTCCACAGAATTTTTTTAAATTGTCAAAATAATTGATTATACTAAGAGAAAGCATTTTTTAAAATAAAATTTGGGGGTCAGTTAAATTACTAGCCAAAATATCTGCCATCTTGAAACGTCATTTTGCCATAGCAACGGCATTTGCATAACTTTTGTGCAAAAATTTACTTTATATGTTGTTTTTCTTTATCAAGAAGTAATAATTGTCCAAAAATATGCATCTAAATTGTTAATCCTCATGTTATTGCCAGAACGTTGGAGTTGAATGTTGCTAACATCATGGATGAAAAATCAAAAGAGGAAATCGCTAATAACATTGAATTGTGGGAAACTGTTCAAAACACTGAAACGATTGAACAAAAGAAAGCTGACGAAATTGAGGTCTCTGAAACAGACGGAGAATATTTGTATGAAAGAAAATCCTCTGTGACATTATTTGTCGGTGATCAAGGAACCAACAAGGTTATGCGTGGAGTAAAGGGACGGTCAGTGGCAGCATATAGTTGGTGCGCCGAAGTCCCCGGGGACATGCATGCCAAGGGCTACCTTTACGAAGTTTGCAAGAAAGTGATGGCACCTGGCGGCCTAATGCACATTTTGCGGGAAGTTCTTTCAAGAAAAAAAATTGTTCCAGAAAGCCTTTGGGAAAAAGAAGTTTCAGGAACAGAATCTTGGCAGAATAGAAGAGGCAATCCGTGATACCACAGTCGCTTTTGGATTGGCCCGCCGCTATTGAATTTCAAAAGTCGACATCATTTCCTGTCCACGACGAGCTTAGGAAGTGCAAAAGATCAACTGGAAATCATAATGCGATTCTGCTTTTGAAATTTAAAGAGTGGATAAGATGCAATGAAAAAGGTGCCTACTTCAAGTACTATTCCCAAATGTTTATTCTGTTTGGTCCGCTACAACAGATGTACATGAATGCCATAAAGTATGGTGACGGTGTTGCCCGAGAAGCTGTATGGATGATCATAATACCAATCAGTTTTTTTTATAAAATATTAGAAACAGTGTGAAGTTTTTAAAGGTGGTGGTCTATATGATGTTTCTTTTAGCCAAAATAATATGTGATGCTCTTTTGTAATTGTTTGACTGCACTTGCGGTTTAACATTAATTTTTAACTCTGTCAATTGCTGTATACAATCTTATAATTGACTATATATAATGATATATATGGAAGTTGCCCAACATGGCTACTTGGGCAGTAATATTGCACAAACACACATATGACAATTTACAAAGTACAGTATACTTTAATTCTGTATCTTATATATTTAAATTTTTAATTCCTGTAAATCTTCAAGCACCCAGGGGATTTATTCATTCCTGGCAAATTTTCAAATGACATTTAATAATATAATCAATTTCCAAAATTTGGGTCGTCCCAGAAAAGGTCCATACTCCCCGAAGAGGAGAAAAATTGTTTCTGATAATAGTAAATGTATTAGGACATCCAAAGGGAGTAGGGGGGTTAACTTCCTATTTCATCTGTGGGGTGGTATGGATGTTTTCTGGAATGACCCAATGTATGCATTTCATTTAGGACAGATAATCTCAACTGTTTTAGGGCAAGTTGACCATGACGGTAAACATGGTAACGCTGCCCGAACCTCAATCCGGGGTGAAACGTCCGAAACTGACCACAGCCAAAAACGACGCTTTCGCCATACTGCTATCTACCAAACCATAAAAGCTTTGGCTATTCTGAGGTGCTTATATGGTTCAGAGATGGTACTTTTGGGGGTGGTCATTGGTAAGTGTGAAATGCCTAGCACTAATATTTCACAAGAAAATGACCATGCAATAATCATAGTTAAACGTCAATTTGTGGCTTGCAACTTCAGATAAACAGCAGTGGACTTACATTACCTTTTTCCCTAAATCTTTTTGATAGAAACATAATTGGTACTTATTTAAATATATTATCAATGGTTTGGTGTAAAATAGTTAATATTTTCTGACCGAAATAATAATTTGAAATGTGCCTACCTCCTGCAAATGGACGTATTTGGCCAAGTTCTCCACTTTACTCCGCTGTTTATCGGCGATCTCGTCGACATCCTACAAAAAATGTAAATCATCTCAGACATAATGGTATCAAGAACATTTTGAACAAGTTCCAACTTGGTTTCAAGTAGATCATACCTGTTTAACCATCGACAAGGTAAATCCACAACTTTGTCCAAATTCGACGCCATTTTGTCATTCCATATCGGTTGTCAACAATTCGGCCTTGTTACTCTTCCATCCAAGCCATTTCCATTCCACTAATAATAAATTTAACCCTTTATAACAGTAAGAAACTAAAAAATCTAAACAAAATATAAGAAATGTGCCATTTTATCACCCTGTAAAAAGTTGTTTACGAGTCCTTCAAAACATTTCGTACAAATCTCGCGTGGTTTAGCAACAGGGACGTGACAGGGGGAGGGGGGGGTAGAGACTTGAAAAATGAAGCAAAGCCGACTGTCATGAATGGCAGGACTGGCGGGACTGGCATGAATAGTGAACACTGATTAGTCAAATTTAAAATTTGTTGTTGTATGGCAAATGACGACTTCAACTGACAGATACTTCATGAAAATAATTTGGTTTTTGCACCACTACAGTATTTTGTACGTTTGCAAAAACTTTTGACAACTTTAAAAGCAATTTGTTATATAAAAAGTTTCATAAAACAATTACGGTATCAAATACCATTGAAAAAATATGGAACCAAACAAAGAGCGACAAGAAAACGATAACAAAGCCGAGCGTCTAGCGAAAAGAAGGGAGCGAAGACGACAACGTTTGCTCGAGGAGACTGCTGAGGAAAGAGAAACTCGCCTGGGAAAGCACAGAGCATGGAAAAAAGACTGCTGAAGCAAAAGGTAAGCAAAATGAGTATATGAGAGTCTATAGGCAACAGAAACAGGCTGGAGAAAGTGCCGAGGAAAGAGAAACTTGCTTGGCAAAACAAAGAGAAGCGTGGCAAGAAAGGACTACAGAAGTTAAGGGTAAGTGAAAAGGGAATAAAAGGGTGTATGATTTAGATAAAATGCAAAATGAGTCTGAAGCAGAAGGAACAAACAGGCTACAAAAGAGAAAACAAGACCAAGCAACCGAAACAGTTGATGAACGAGCAAGAATACTTGAAATACTACGAGCAGTTTTTCACACAGCAAGTTCAAATGAAAATGACCAAGAATCAAATGAGCAGTTGAGTATGTCTGTTGATGCAACTGGTAGATATATCTGTCCCTGAAGCAGACGAGGATAGTGAGTCTGTACATGAAGCAGAGGGGCCAGAGGTGAGTAGAAATGAATATTTACATGAGGGTGGTTGGCAAAATGTTGGCAACCCTCTGCATGAGCTAGAGTTTGTACAAAATGAAATGCACAGTTTTCATTTAGATCAAGAACATTTCGAGCATCGACAATGTATAATGTGTAAAGAAGCTTGGCCGACACAACAGAACTTAGCATCAGAAGTATACATTTGTTACCGGTGTAAAAGAGACAAGAAATCACCCAAGAAATTCAGTGCGGAGAATGACATGGACCCAGGAATAGTTCCTGAACTATTGAGAGGTTTGACACAGGTAGAAGAGAATGTTAATTTCAAGGGTTTGTCCCATTATGAGAGTGTATAGAAAACATGGGGCTCAGAGGGGGTATAAAGGACATGTACTTAACTTACCACAAGATATTCAAAGTTTCTTGAATAGATTGCCTTCTTGTGTGGCGGACTTGCCTGTCTCGATTGGGCGAAGACATGGTGCAGAAGACAAACATCGAGACTTTACTGTGCGTCAACACAAAGTTCTTGAGGCTGTACTATGGTTAAAGACAAACAATCCGTTCTTTAAAAATATTGAAATTGATAGAGATGTCATCCAAAGTTTACCAGAAAATGGTATTCCTGATGAGCTAAGGTATGTCATTGATGAAAATGAGCTTTCAGTTCATGTTGAAAATGAGGGGCCTCCCCAAGACCCAGTAATGAGTGCTAATGCAAGTGTGGAAGAGTTAGTTTTAGGAAGTGGCAGTACATCGTTTATTCCTATGCGCCAAAGACAGAGAAAAGAAGGTGCAGCT